ATCCATTTCGATCATTTTGCTCTTGAATTATTTCATGTGCATGTTAATTTCCTCGATGTACTATCAAGTTTTGCATAGGTTATATTTATCAAACCACGAACTCTGTGGCACATGGTGTATGGCTCTAGTATCACAAATCCAACTTTGATAGTACACGGGGTTGTATCCCACCATCATCACCTCCTCTTCAACATAATCATATGTTGATTCTTCATCATGGTGAGCCTCATTCTTGGCCTCACGTTGGCCTTCCATTTGCGAATTGGAATCCTTGAGGAATTTGACCTTTTTCTTTTCCAACAATTTTTCTTTATGTGGCTTGGCTTGCTATAAAACCAACAACATTTTCCATAAGACGCCATCAACTTTGATCGGCTATTTGAAGAATCTCTTGATGAACCACCCTGTTCATCCTACTGGCCTCTTGCCGCAAAAACATCCATCCTCGAACCCATTAAATTATCAATCAATACCTTCTTTTGAAGTTCATCAGCGATTACAACACTAGAAACAAAATCCAAGTTGAGAGATTCTTCATGTTACAACAAGGTAGTGACAAAATTGTCATAGGACTCTGGTAACACCCACAACAATGTTGCCGCCTTATCATCCTCATCCATTTTCATCTGGAGACTCTAGAGTTGACAAATTAAGTTAAATTTATTGCAAGGGTTCTCACACTTTCACACTATCATGCATACAAGCTTTCTAGCTTTGTTCATGAATCCTCTGCCGTCGTTTCTCCTATTATATTAAATTGTATCTCATTCGCTAAACACAAGCGAACAGTGGTCAGCGCCTTCGTATCCATTCTTCCCAATCATCATCTTTCTCCCAAGCTCTCTTCACTCTCCCTACAAGAGTGCTCCTCGCACACGATCTACTTTTCTCTCTCTACAATGACTCATATGGCTCTTATAGAAGTTATTTTTTTATTTGACCAAAACTACCTTTAGATAATGAGAGGAATCTATTGGGGTTGATATTGTATCACCAATCCAACATTTGGGATCCAGTTTGGCCTTTGGTTCACAATTCAACTTATTGGACCTGTCAGTCAGTCCGGTTCGAGTACATACTTTCCTTGCTACTACAAAAGTTTAAAAATTGGCAGTTCAACCTCTTGGACCTTACGGTTCAATCCAGTTATAATAACATTTGAATACGTACTTTCTTTGCGACTGTGATAATTTATAAGTCAGGCTGTCAGGATGGGTTAATACAAGAATCAAGTGAAGTTTTGCCAAAAAGATTAGGCAGTAAGTAAAATGCCTCTTAAAGAAAATATCAAACAAACTAATCCCGTGGCCTAGTTGCATGGCTCCCACTTTTGTGGGTAGTGGTCTCAAGGCGTCAACAGTCCTAATGCAAACTAAGCTTACTAGAAAACAGAAGAAAAACTCAAAAATAAAACTGAATATCAGAGTTAAAGCTAAAATGTTTCTGAAAAGGGTGTGATTTGCATAAGGTTCCAACCTTAAACAATCAAATTAAGGTGTACCTCCAAACTTTGTTATGAGATGCAATTTTGGTGTCAAAAAAGTTATTAGGCTGGTAGAAGAATCTATTTTTATCTCTAATTATAAAATTTTAAACTCAAAAAATGGTTCTATCAAGCAGATCTATAAATGCATGAAAGTCTTGAAATTGACGGTCTAGATATTGTATCAAGATGTACTATTATTAGGACTTGAAATCTCTTTTTTACTCCATGCTAGGCATCTCGATGTTGAGATAAGCAATTAGACATTTTTCCAATATCAAAACAATCTTTTTCGAAGGATTTTAGAGATGCACCTTAATTCTACATTTTATAGTGTCAACCTTATAAAAGCATTTTTCTTCTGGAAAAGCCTTTGATAGAAAAAATCTGAAATTGTATTTTCATGGAATTGTTTTGGAGCGAAAAGGGTTTGCATATTCAGCAGCTGAAGAGAGCATCGTAGAGCTGAAGAGCCAGGAAGAGTTTGAGTCATGCAATGTGAACAACCCCATAAGGATGTACGCAGATGGACTCAATGAGGTGAAGCTGGGAGGAGTAGGGAGTCGCTTCTTCACCAGTGCCAACACTGGTAGTTGCAGGAGTGGCCTGAAATTACATGTCCAGGTGGTGCCCACAACTACGTTCCAAGAGACAGTTAAGGCAATTGGCCCTAGCCCATCTGGTTCAGTTCGCCTCTCTACAGCACCAAGGGGCTTAGCCGTGGGAGCAATGGTATTGGCATGGGTCTTCACCTCTTTCATGGTTTGAGTAGATTCTTTCCCCCTCTCTCTGACTGAACTTTTGTTTGCACTTTCGTGGATGTTATTCACTCTTGTTTTGGCATTTTGCTGCACATTTGCTTTGCTGTTTGTAAGTGTGGGGGAAGTTGTAGTAGGTTTCCCTGATGGTATTAGTTAGACTTCAAGTGCTCTGTATTATCAAAATGCTAAATAAAAAGTTTAAATAACTATATTAGAAGACCATATACTTTTGGATGTGGTTACTGTGCGGGCATGCCGGCAAAAGCTACCAATCTTATAGTCTTTCAATCACTACTATCCAACTAAGATGGACGGTGGGTAGCCCTTGCGGGTATGCAGGCATGCTTGTAGTGGAGGGATGTTCCAATCACTTTTAGTCTTTAGATGTAAAATCCAGCTATTAGTAGCATGTTATTGGTCATTCAAAGTCCAAAAATATTTTTTCGAACTCTCTAATATACACCCTGAGCCTTCAGATTTCATATATGACAGTTCAATAGTTATTCTGAGTTTTTGCCCTTGAAATAAATGGCCTTATACAGTATAAATTCCCCATGGTATATTATAGAAAAATAATGCCAATACAAATGTTAAAAGTTGGTTATTTATTTGAGAATAAATAATATTAAATAATTTGAGCTAACAAGGTCATTTTATCTTGTGCAATTTAGGAGCTCCATGCCGAAAGTAGTAGCCCAATATGTGAAACGCTACATAAGAAGATTGATGTTTGGAATGTTATGTAACGCAAGGCACTAAAGGAATATCGTTTGGTCTATGATCAAACACTGCCATGTTCGTTTGCAAATTTTCTGTTTTGAAGTTTACTATGCTTGTGGGGGCCATTGTCTAAAACTGTGAATAGGGATTTATCAGATGAACATTGGATTGAAAGTAATGATCCTATAGAACCCTCCACTACCCATGTGTGTAGGATTCCAAAGAATCACCATTAAAGTTGGTACGGATTTCTAAAAATGTTATCACACGAGTGTGAGACTTGCAAAATTTAATGGTGATCATTTGGAGTCCTATACATATGGGTGGGGGAGATCATTTCTCATATATATATATATATATATATATATATATATATATAGTTAGTTAGTTATCGTCCTCGTACGACTACTAACTACTAATTACTTCCGTACCCGTC